TCAGCGTAGGGGGGTCCCAGATGGGTGGGTGTCTGCGAGGGGGGGTCCCAGAGGGTGGGGCCTCCCCCACGGGTCGGTCCAGAGGAGGGGTTGGGGGGGGTCTCTTGCGAGGGGGAGGGGGTCTGCGAGGAGGGTCTGTGAGGGGGGGTCAGCGAGGGGGGGTCTGTGAGGGGGGGTCTGCGAGGGGGGGTCAGCGAGGGAGGGTCCCAGAGGGGGGGTCTGCGAGGGGGGGTCTGCGGCGCCGGGGCCGCGGTCGCCCGACCAAAGGAATCATATTGTAATCCGCAATAAAGGGTTACCCCTAGGGCCTACCCCTAGGGCTACCCTGGGGCTACCCCTAGGGCCCACCCCTAGGGCTACCCTAGGGCTACCCCTTGGGAAGCCTAGGGCCTTGGGTAGGGCCTACCCCTTGGGAAGCCTAGGGCCTTGGGTAGGGCCTACCCTTGGGAAGCCTAGGGCCTTGGGTAGGGCCTACCCTTGGGGAGGGCCTTGGGTAGGGCCTACCCTTGGGAAGCCTAGGGTCTTGGGTAGGGCCTACCCTTGGGAAGCCTAGGGCCTTGGGTAGGGCCTACCCTTGGGAAGCCTAGGGCCTTGGGTAGGGCTAGGGTAGCCAAGGCCCCCGGTGATCTATACCTGAAAAGGGGGGGGGTCACTACCGGTTCGAACCCCCTCCCCCCCCCCCCCCCCCCCTCCGGATCCGGAAAACCGGGGGGGGTCACTACCGGTTCGAACCCCCCCCCCCCTCGAAAACCGAGTGGGGGTGCGGACAGTGGTGGGGACGGTGTTGGTGGGGACAGTGGTGAGGGGATAGCGGGACAGTGGTGGGGACAGTGGGACAGTGGGACAGTGGTGGGGACGGTAGTGGTGGGGACAGTGGTGGGGACAATGGTGGGAACAGGGGGGGACAGTGGACAGTGGTGGTGACGGTGGTGGTGGGGACAGTGGTGTGGGGACAATGGGAATGAGGTGGAAACAGTGGGACAGTGGAGGGTACAATGGTGGTGGGGACAGTGGTGAAGGCGGTGGCGAGGACGGCGGTGGGACAATGGGACAGAGGTACAGTGGGGACAGTGGTGGGGACAGTGGGGACAGTGGTGGGAACAGTGGGACAGCTCAGTGGGACAGCGGCGGAGTCAGTGGGACAGTGGGGACAGTGGGGATAGTCGGGCAGTGGTTGGGGCCGTGGAGACAGTGGGGAGAGTGGTGGAACCGTGGTGGGAACTGTTCTGGGGACAGCGGGGACAGTGCGACAGTGGTGGGGCCACTGGTGGGGACAGTAGGGGCGGTGGTGGAACCAGTGGGGACAGCGGTGGTGAGGACAGTGGTGCTGGGAACACCAGTGGGGGATGTGATGCGGACGGTGGTGGGGACCGGGAGTCGTTTGCTGGCGGTGAGTAGGGGGGAGGGGGGGGGGGGGGGGGGAAGGGGGGGTTTTCGAACCGGTAGTGACCCCCCCCGGTTTTCCGGATCCGGAGGGGGGGGGGGGGGGGGGGGGAGGGGTTTCGAACCGGTAGTGACCCCCCCGGTTTTCGAGCGGGAGGGGGGGGGGGGGGGGGGCGGGGGAGGGGTTAGGGGAGGGGGGGGGTTTTGCCGGGAGAGGGGGGGGGGGGGGGAGGGGTTCCAGCAGGGGGGGGGGGATTTTCGGAGGGGGGGGGGGGGGGGCGACCCCCGGGTTCCGGAGGAAAAGGTTGGCAATTTTCCACAGTAAAGCGGCGGTGGATCACGCTCTCTCATTCGTTCAAAGTCGATGTGCAGGTCGTTCGTTCAAAATCCTCTTGTAGAGGGGCCATGCCCGACCCAATCGTGGCTTCTCTAGCGCGTGGCTTCAGAGTCTCTGGGCTGTAGCTTGCGTGAGGCCCCTCGTCCACCCCCGCATGACCGCGGAGCTCCCCTCTCCCCCCGTTGTGCGCCTGCGGCGCTGTCATTTGCGATGCTCGCGGGCTACCGTGGTGCACGCAGGCTTCTGTTGACGCTCGTCGTCGTGTCCGAGGGCCTCGCAGGGCCTGCTGACGCTTCCAGAGGCCTCTGGAGACTCTGGAGATTTCCTGAGATCTCGGAAGACCCCTGTCGACCTTCAGAGGCGGCCGTCGTCGTCGTCGTCGTCGTCGTCGTCGTCGTCGTCGTCGTCGTCGTCGTCCTCGTCCTCGTCCTCGTCCTCGTCCTCGTCGTCGTCCTCGTCGTCTTCGTCGTCGTCGTTGTTGTTCGCATCCTCGTCCTTGTCCTCGTCGTCGTCGGCGTCGTCGTCGGCGTCGTCGTCGTCGTCGCCTTAGTCGTCGTCGTCGTCGTTATCCTCGCCTCGTCGTCCTCGTCCCTGTCGTCGTCGTCGTCCTCTTCCTGCTCGTCCTCGCGGCGGTCGTTTAATTATCCTCGCTCGCGCCGCCCTCGCCCCGAAAAGCCAGAGGCACCCAGAGCTCTCCAGAGACCTCCTTGAGCCTCCGGAGACCCCCAGAGAACTTCACCGGTGGCCGTCGTCGTCGTCCTCGTCCTCGTCGTCGTCGTCGTCGTCGTCGCCACCGGCGTCGTCCTCGTCGTCGTCGTCGTCCTCGTCGTCGTCGTCGCCATCGTCGTCAACGTCGTCGTTGTTCTCCTTGTCCTCGTCGTCGTCGCCGAGGGCCTCGGATGGGCCTTCAGACGCCTCCCGAGGTCTCCGGTAACCTCGTTGGGTCTCAGGAGATCTCCGGAAACCTTCAGAGGCGTCCGTCGTCGTCGTTGTCGCCTTGTCGTCGTCGTCGCCGTCGCCGTCGTCGTCCTCATCGTCGTCGTCCTCGTCGCCGTCGCCGAGGACCTCGAAGGGCCTTGAGACGTCTCCAGAGGTCTCCCGAAACCTCCCCAGGCCCCCAGAAACCTCCCGATACCTTCAGAGACGTCCGTCGTCGTCGTCGTCGTCGTCGTCGTCGTCGTCGTCGTCCTTATCCTCGTTGTCGTCTTCGTTTTCGTCCTCGTACTCCTAGTCGTCCTCGTCGTCATCGTCGTCTTCGTCACCTTCGTCGGCGTCGTCGTCCTCGTCCTACCCTGCGGACGGTAATCGCCGTCCCCGTCCCCGTCCTCTTCCTCGTCGCCGTGGTCGTTATCGTCGTCCTCCTCGGACTCGTCCTCGTCCTCGCCCTCGCCCTCGTCGTCTTCGTCGTCGTCGTCAGGCGCTCCCGCGCCCTCGTCGTCTAGCAAACACCAGCACAGAATAATGCTCGAAGGAGGGTGCGGCAGGCCAGCCGCAACTGGGGGAGCTGTGCTCCTTACCCCCCCTGGAGGGGCCCATCGATCTCGACACCCCTCTCGAGAGATCGTCGATGCGATGGGCTCCCCCAGTCGGGTGTTGCTAGAAGTGCACCTGGCCCGAGGTGCCCCCAGCTTTTTGTTCCATTTTGGAGCCTCGGGGGCCATCTGGGCCTCGTGAGGGGTGCCCTGGAGGCCGTTTGGACCACCCCGAGAATCCTGGGGGTACCTTGGGCCAGGGGTACTTCTAGCAACACCCGACCCAGGGGGGTCAGGGCCACAGCTCCCCCCGGTTACGGCTGGTCGGTGCGGGGAGACATCGCCGTGGTGCTGCACCGCTGCGCTGCGCAGCACGCGGGCGGTGTGCGGTGCGCGCGGGCCGCGGCGGCGCACCCTGCGCCGCGCGCGCCGCGGGTGCCTGCTGTGATGCGTACGGGCGCTGCGGTGCCGGAACCTCACGGCGGGGGGGCGGCCTGACGTCTACGATGTTCCAACTTACTTTAGCCTTGATCACCAGAAAGAATGTCGAGCGCGACACTCTTTCGACACTTTTCCGGGTGCTCGATTTTATTTTTAGGATGTGGTCCTTGAGTACGATGGGAACAACATAACGTTGCGTTAGTGATCGTTGTTTTAGTCACCGTTTTGCCGATCGGCGCGGGCCCCCGAAACCTCCGCCCCCCCCCCGCCCACCTGGAGTAGATCTTGGCGCCTGTTTCGAGCGGGCGGGGTCTCCCCCCCCCAGAGGCCGCACTGCTGCAAACGATCGCACAAAGCAGGGGTCGGGAGCCAGACCCCCCCCCATCCCCCCCTTTCCGCCCATTGTCGAAGCGCCGAATGAAAAAACGACGCTCGCTTAAGCCCCTCATCCAAGAAGGCCCGTTATAGCCGCTGAGAATCAATTTTACCCGTTAGCGCAGGGATCGAGCACTGGTATTGAATTCAACCTTGGACAGCCATGCCGACAGCAGACGCGGAACGCTACGCTGAAACTGCAGAACCTTTGAGACGAATGTCTGCGGACGGTGTTGTTGCGAAGAAGAAGTAAGAGCAACGGCATTAAGTTAGGCCCCCACGCGTAAATAACGCCGGTAATGGCTGCGAGTAAAAGAAATCGGGAGCCTCAAGACGGGGGTCAATGCAAACGGGGGTCAGCCACAGCACGGGATCCTGCAGGATCCTGCGAAGACCCCCTCTGGTTGACCCGGGTTAGCGAGCCGATCGTGGCCGCGAGGCGGCCGCGCCTGTTGGCTGACCCAGGTTTGCGAGGACCTGCGGTGCAGTGTTTTTTTTTTTCTGCATTGCAGTTTTTGGTTTCCTGCTGACCCGGGTCTGGATTGACCCGGGTCAGAAGATCCCCGAAAAGAACGCGCGCGCTCCTGCGAGGCCTTCTGCTCGTGAGGCCCCTGCCCGCAGAGAGGCCGCCTGGCCTCCTCGGCGAGGACTGTGTGTTGGTCTTCCTTCGGCAATCCACCTGTGCGAGGACATGCCCGACCGAGCCCTGGCCCGTCGCCATGCTTGCTTCTGCTTGTTTCGCGGGCTAGAGGTTGACACCAACACCAATCTCGGCGATGTGCTCCTCCACCGAGGGAAGAAGAACCCGATCTCGGCGATGGTGGTAATATCCTGGCTTCCAAGGTGGCCGAAATAGTACCACCAACACAGAAGTCTAGGATCATTTCCACCCTGTGGAAGCAACCCCCTGTGCTGGTGTTGGTGCCAATGCTCAGGCCCCCAACTGTTCTGCTGGCCCTGGCGGCGGCTGCTCGCTTCTGCTGGCCCTCGAGGAGCAGGAGGACCGGCAGCTGGCCAGCTTCGAGGAGGAGGACCGGCAGCTCGCCCTGCGGCTGTCCATGGAGGAGCTCCGGCCCCTTGCCCGTTGGGCAGTTTCCTCCACCACCACTACCACAGGTAGGACGAGGCAGAAGTGAGGATGGGGCGGTGAGGTCCTCCTCCTCCTGATCCTCTTTCTCGTTTTTTCTCTTTCTCTCTCTCTCTCTCTTTCTCTGTCCCTGTTTTCTCCTCCTCCTCCCCCTCCTCCCCCTCCTCCTCCTCCTCTTCCTCCTCCTCCTCCTCCTCCTCCTCCTCCTCCTCCTCCTCCTCCTCCTCCTCCTCCTCCTCCTCCTCCTCCCCCTCCTCCTCCTCCTCCTCCTCCTCCTCCTGCCTCCTCCCCCTCCTCCCCTTCCCCTCTCCTATAAATGGTAGCGGTGGTGGAAAATCGGTCCATCATTTTTCGCTGATGTGCGCACCGAGTCTTCCTCGTCGTGGTTTTCCATTTGCCAGGCCAACTTCTTCGCCCGTTCGCTGCATTCGCTCACGTCGCTACCTACGCTTGCTGGAGTCACTGGTGGTCTCCCCGCCTTCGAAAACGAGCGTCCACTCGTTGTCTCTTGCCTCTGTTTTTCTGTGTACGTTTGTTCCCCCCCCTGCCGCAGCCCCTGCCCGCTCCCTGCGGAATTCTTCCGCGCTCGAGCGCCTCCCTCCTTCTCCCCCCCCGCGCGGCCGCCCTCTTCGCCTCCTCGCTCCCTCGCGCGCCGGAGAATTTGCGAGCGGTGCCCCCGATGAGCCCCACGCCGGTGCGGATCGCCGCCGCCTCGCCGGCGGCGGACAAAAGTTCCCCCCCCCCTCTCCGTGTCCTCGGTTCGGCCCGTTCGGCTGATTTGCAGTCGGCTGCGTCACGTCGGCTGGGATCGGTCGGCCGCCGCGCCGCCGCCACCTGCCAGGCTGGCTGGGTCTTTCGGCTCCGGTTGCGCTGTCGCTCTGGTCGGTGTTCTGGATCTCCGCGCCTCCGTGGACGTCCGTGGTAGGACGTCTTGTGTCAGACTTTTGTAGGTCTGCCTGCACGCTTTACCTGGAGTGGCATACACAGCGTAACACATCTCCTGAGGTCGGCGAGGATGTTTTGGATCGGCGCCCCCCCACCCCCCACCCCCCTGGCGTCGCTTTCGGCGCCGCCCCTGGCGCCGCCTCTGGCGCGGCGCTTCGCGCGCCTAGGAGGATGGGCAGACGCCGATCCAATCAATCCGCGTTGACCGCCGACAGTTCATGGTTATGCAGTTGGTTTGTTTCTAGTCTTGCAGTTTCTTCTCGCGTTGCATGCCTGTGCTGACAAACCAGATTTTCAGAGGCCACGGCCTCATCCATCTGGTCTCAGCTAGGCCCGGGCGGTGTCCGCAGCGATGGTCCTGTTCGTAGCGGCAAGGAGCAGAGGGTCAGAAGCCGGCGAAGGCTGGCAAACCCGTGGCTGCTAAAAGAGAGCTCCGGGAAATTGTTTTCTTCCGGGAAGCAGCCCGTTTACTATTTAGTGCGCTGCGATTGATTCCAGGAATTCTAGACGCTTCGCGCAACCCCACCAGCCCATTGCACGTCGGCTGCCGCCCTGGGCGCTGCCTCCCTCGCCGCCTGATCCGCGGCCCCCGCGCGCGCTAGGCAATTTAGCCGCGGTCGTAGCCCGCCCGCGACCTCCCGCCGCTGGCGCTTCCGCCTGCGGCTGAAAAAAAAAAACAACCCCACCAGCCCATCCAGAAGCGATGCCCAGAGGAATTGCCTCGATCAGGGAAGTGGGCAGCACACAGAGGAAGGGTCCCCCAGTGGAGGCCTCTTGGAGCGTCTTGGGTGCCTCGGAGAGCTTTTTGGGGCCTCGTGGAGGTCTCTTGGGAGCATCTTGGAGGCCTCTTGGGCGCCTGTTGGGGCCTCCTGGGCGCCTCTTGGGGCCCCTTTGAAGCGCTCTTGGGAGCCTTGGGAGCGCTCTTGGGGCCATCTCGGGGGACATCGATCAAACCAGAAGCGATCATTAGTTAGCGTTGCCCCTCGGGAGTCCAAGCAATCGCCTCGTGGGGCGCTCTTGGGGCGCTCTTGGAGCGATTTTAGGCGCTCTTGGGGCCGTCTTGGGGCTCTCTGGAGCCTCTCTTGGAGCCCTGTTGGGCCATCTTGGAGCCATCTTGAGGCCTCGGATGGCCATCGGAAGCAAAACGGCGAGAAAGCCAACCAGATAGAATTTCCTACGGTGTTGGCCTCTTCGGGGCCTCCTGGGGGAGCTCTTTGGCCACTGGGAGCCGTCATGGAGCGGTCTTGGGGCATCTTGGAGCATCGTGGGAGCCATTATGAGACATTTTGGGGTACCTTGAGCCATCTTGGAGGTCATCTTGAGCTCTTCCAGGCGCTTTTGGAGTCATCTTAATCGGTGCCCCTCCCAAGAGGCCAACATGTGGCTAAAACCTTAGCAACATCAATGATTTAGCATTCTCGCCGAGGCCTCTTGGAGCATCTTGGGTGCCCCTGGGGGGTCTTTTGGGTTCTCTTGGGGGTCTCTTGGGGGCCTCTTGGGGGCATCCTGGGGGCCTCTTGGGGCTTCCTGGCCACCTCTTGGGGCCCTCTTGGGCTCTTGGGTGAGATCGATTACAGGAGGGGGCGTTACCAATTGCAGTTCCCCCCCCTCAGGAGGCCAACATGGGGCCAAAACCCTAGTAACACAAATGATGTTGGCTTCCTCGCCGAGGCCGTTTTGGACGCTTCGACGACTCGCGGAACCCCGTGTCCAGGTCCAGGGGAGGGGGTAGGGCAAGCTAGGTGCGCTCGCGTCATATCTGACATCCTACCCCTCCCTCCCATCCCTTACCATGGCGTAGATCCCCTCTCTACTCGCACAGTCGGATGTCGAGCAGGGCAATGATCCCGAAAGGGTACGCGATGCATTGTAGAGCACGGCGTGGCATGGCGTAGAAGAGCACCGCAAAGCGTAGTATGTCACAGCATGGCGTGGCGTGGCGTAGTGAAGAATTGCATCACACAGCTTTGCAACGCAAAGCATGGCATCGCACAGCGGCCCCGAACATAACATTGCATAGCATTGCGTTGAAGACTAAAGCGTAGCATGGCATAGCACGACGTGGCACCGAAGCACTGCATATCACAGCTTCAGCTGAAGGCATGGCATCGCGCAGCGGAACGCAACCGAGCATTGCATTGCATGCCGTGGCATGGCACGGGAAATGATGCCAGCGCTGCAGCGGGAGCACGAATCGGAACGAACGGAAGCGCGGAAATGAGGCCAGCGCTGCAGCGGGAGCACGATTCGGAACGAGCGGAAACACGGAAATGTGACCAGCGCTGCAGCTTGAGCACGATTCGGAACGAGCGGGGCCCGACAATGAGGCCGGCGCCTCAGCCAGAGCAGCATTTTGGAACAAATGCAGGCGAAAACCCAACTCCGGGGAAACCTGTCTGCAAAAAAACAGTACGCGGGGGGGGCGAACACTCCCAAACCGTCATCAGGGGAAGGAGGAGAGTTGAGTACTTGTGGAGGGGTAAACCCCTCCCCGACCCCGAAGGGGAAGAAGGGGTGGAAGAGGAAACTCCCTAAACCACCGACGCCCAGAGGGCTGGTGGGATTTGTTTTTTCCTTCCGGGAAGACCGCCTTAGCAGCCACGGATTCGCCAGCCCTCGCCCAGCTTCCAAAAGGAGCAGGGGGGGGGGGGGGGCTGGCGGCTGGCGAGGCTCCGAATGGAAGCCTGGACTCTCCTCGCACGGGGCAGCGGCGTTCAGTGTGCGTGCCCTTTTCGGCCCGGGGCGTGGGTCCACATATCATGCAGGCGGGCTCGGCTGCAGCCTCGTTCCCTGAGCCCGCATGAACCCCGTACCCCCCCCAACCCGAAATTCGGGTCTTCGGGGTTGGGTTGGGGTGGGCTGGTAGGCAGTCCCCTCCCCCCTCGCTCTCGCTGCCCTCTGCCCGTCCCCCTTGTTCCTTCCATCTCTCGCTGCCCCCGTTTAAGTCCCTCCCTTCCTGTGTCTGCCTGCCTCCAGCGTCGCGATTTGGGTTTGCAAGGGGCGAGTGCAAGGGGCGAGTGCGAGGGCGAGGAAGGGGAGGGGGAGGAGGAGGAGAGGGAGGAGGAGGAGGAGGAGGAGGAGGAGGAGGAGGAGGAGGAGGAGGAGGAGGAGGAGGAGGAGGAGGAGGAGGAGGGGGAGTTGGGAGGAGGGAGGGAGGAGGAGGAGGAGGAGGAGGAGGAGGAGGAGGAGGAGGAGGAGGAGGAGGAGGAGCAGGGAGGAGGGCGGAAGGAGGGTGGGAGGAAGGAGGAAGGAGAGGGTCAAGTTGGGTGCGCTCGCGCCATGCCTGCCTGCAGCGTCGCCATGTGTGCTCATGTGTATGCCAAGTTGTGTCTGCCCGTTTATCCCCCCGTCGCTATCGTTGTCGCTCTTTTCAGCATCATCCCATCACCCTTGACTCACTGAGTCTCCTCCTCCTTCTTCACCTCCTCACCTCTCTCTCTCTCTCTCTCTCTTGTAGTCATTTATGTTTCTTTCCCTCTCTCTCTCTCTTTCACCACCCTGTTTGTTTGATCGGGGGGAGTGTGGTGTCTCCAAACTGCGTTGTTGGCACCCGAACTACAACAACAACGGTTCCCGCTTGATACTTCCCCACAATGTATTGAGAAATCGCGCTTTCGCGAGAGACTTCCTTGAAGATCTACTCAGGAGTGGTGCTCTCTTTTGGGACGTCCTCGCAATTTATTCTGGCACCGCGCCTCGACACTCATGAATCACGCTCTCGCGTTAGACTTCCTCACGTTTGTTTGGGAACCGCCCTCTCGCTTGGCAGTTTCTGACGGCTCGTGCAGGACTCACGCTTCAGCGACCCGCCCGCTCGACCTGCCCGTCTGGGTCGCCCGCCCGACCCGCCCGTTGGGGCCCGCAGTCGCCCCTCGTTGCCTCTCGACCGCCTTCGATGCCCCTCGCCGCCACGCTATCGCCCTTCGTGGCCCCCTCGCTGCCCTCAATGGCCACGTCGCTGCCCTCAGTGGCCCCGTCGCTATCTGTGCTGTGGCCCCATACGCGTATGCTCTCGCGGCCCTCGTTCGCCCG